TAAAAGACGTGAGGAAATTCTGTCTTTTTTAAAGACAAAAATTTTTGAGGCAAAATACCCAAAAAGAAGTTTGTAAAAAAAGAGATTTGTCGTGATGCTTGTGGTGCCGAAATAGGAAAAAAAGGTTTTTGTCCAACTGAGAATAGGCGAAACTTTTACCAATTGTTTTATTTGCCACCCTGCAGAAACGTTATCTGGTGTGCTAATTTTTTGCAAAACCACGCACGACCGAAGAAGAGTTGGACTAAATAGCGCTTCAAACCGAAACAAAATCATTTGAAGCAAGCAGAATTTATCCAGTTGCAAACTAGTCCAAATTTTGGTCGAGAATCTGGTCAAGAACGACTTCTTTTTGACGGTGTTTTCCGTGCCTAAATGGGACGTTTCATTTAAATCTTCTTTTTGTGAATAAACTGCAGAAATCTGCTCAGGACTGGTTGCGCCTTATTTGCCCGTCCTCTCATCCTCCGTCTTTTCCTTTTACTTTAAACCGCTCAAATTCCCTTTGAGAGTTCACGGAGGAGAGGAAACTTACCGGTTGAGGTTTGGAGCTGGTCTTGGTGGCGTTCCTGCCCGTTTTGAAGTGGAGGCGGCGCAAAGCGGAGGCGGCAGTAGCAATGAGGTCATCAGGAGGTCGGGGGGACTTTGGGGGGCCCGACTGCGAATTGACGGTCATCTTGGGGCGCGGGCTGGAGGGGCAGTGATGGTTGGAGGAGATCAGTGGGGAGTTGCTTCCGCCAGCGCCGGCGATATTTTCGTCGTCGACCTGCAAAAAAATCCTCCTCAAATCAGGTATTTTGCCCCAAACTCGGCCCGATTTATTATCATTTGGGTGGGTTTGCGCTTCAGTGGAAGTTTCCGGTTAGCACCACATTAATATCTGCTGCATAAGCGGCAACTTTACAAATTTAACTGTCAGAAACAAAAACGAACGTGTGGTTTCATGCCCGAGTGTTTGCTGGGGCCACGATCGCAAAAGTCCAATTATCTGCACATTAAGCAAAAATAATTGCGTTTTCAGCGGCGCATAAATACTCAAAAAATATCTTTCAATAGGCTCCATTCGCCGTTTATTTTTCTTCCTGCAGCCGTTTGTCTAAGCATCAAATTGAAGTCGCAAAATAAAAACCTGCAAAATAATGCGGGCTCGTCTGTTATGTATGCATAAATCATTCAGACTCCCCCCCGGGTACTTTGAACTTTACGTCTATTAGGAAGCAAAACCGCTTAAAGCAGTAAAAATAAATATTTAATTAACGCCAGTTTTTAACGGCAGGCTTTAACGGGGTTGTTGGGACGCTTCTATTAAATATTTTGCCGGTGAAGGTCCCGTGGGGCTTTTTGCCCCCTTGGGGTAATTTATGGGGCAACTTTTCCACTGCCGCGTAAATTATTCGAGCTGCCAAGTGTTGGAAAAATGAAAGCGGTTTTAACGTTTAATTTACCAGACTTCTGCGTGTTGTATATAACAAAACACTTATATTTTTGTGAAGAAGTCAACCCTTCTTGAAATTTCAACCCCTAAAATATCCAAGGGGTTAATTGAATTAGTTCACTTAAACTGATCGGGCCGCTTCCCTAATGTCGCTCGATATCGCCTTTTCTTTTCCTTTTGGGGAAATAAAAACTTTTTAATAAAGAACCGTTTTCCGTGACTCTTTTTTTCTGGAGGTCGATACTGGGAGCAACTTAAGGGCTCTTAATTGCTCTAATTCGCCTTGCGCCCGATAAAATGGATCAGGAGCAAATGCGGAAACAAGAAAACGCAATCCGATAGCTGATGGTCGGTTCTTTTTCGATTACTTTCGAGCTGCGCCTTTGAGCTTTAAATTAGTTGATTATCTAAGTTGAAGCGAATTTTAGATTGTTGGCCTATGATTTATTTGGCTCGCATTGTCGTTCTTTTTGCAATTTCGTAAATGCCAGCAGCAAAATGTCGCGTAAAGGGCCATTTGAGTCTTTCCGGTCTCTTTGCCAAACGCTCGAGTCGGAGAAAATGCCAAAGATGAAAACACACCGAATGAGAATTTAGCTGCCAGTTTAATACGTATATATAATTTAATAGGTTTTTATGGATGAACCAAACATTGATTGTATTAGAGGCAATGATGATGAATTGGGCTTCCAAGTATTTTCATGACTGCTTTGGGCCATTTCTGCTTAAAGATTTTGTCTTCTGCTAGTTTCTGCTTGAAATTTGTCCCCCCGTTCACATCGAATTGTGCTGCGAAAATGTCAAGAACATTCAAACACAGGAAGGAAGCGCAAACAAACCCAATTTTTTGGCCAAATCAAGAGTGTTTTTCTTGTTAAATCACTGCAAAATATTCCGTTACTATCGATCAACCCTGACGCTATACACAGCAGACTCCCCCAAGGAACAAATTAATCTGCTGGTTTTCCTGCATTTTGGCGCATTCCTGCTAGGAAATGCAATCCGTTTCCGCATTTTGTCTAGACGAATTTATCACATCGCGAATGTTCACTCTGCTGTGTGCAAGCAGCAAACTTTTATAATGGAAGTCGGAAAATTTACCGAGTTTATTATCCGAATCACACGCGAATGTTTTATTTTCGGTTTCGTGAATCAAAAGCTTTTGATCTCGATCTCGAGTTGACGCGTCGCACTAATAAGTTTTCGGTTTTATATTTATTGAGTTGAAATTCATGTATGAGCAGGCGGTTTCTTCTTAATGCCACTGTCCCATTTAGTGTTCAAAGCGCATTGTAAATTTACTTTGCTTTACTTGTTGGAGTAATTTTTCGGGTTTCGGACCGTCAATTCGGCTTAATGAGGGCATTCTTTAACATGAATTTGCCAATTTGTTCTGCATTGAACATCAATATTAAAGAGAAATAAAGCGACAATTTCGGGGCAATATTATTTAACAGAACGGTGTCAACAAATGAACCAAAAGGTTCAGAATGAGTTGATGAATATTGAATCAAAGACCAACCTTTACGTTTGCTCCCGTTCTAAATTATTTGCTGTTAAACACACACATACATAAATATGCATCTAAATTTTGCATAAAGTTCGCTTGCAATTTTCTGCTTCGCAGCGCGTGAATAATTCTCTTTATTCCCTTGAAATTCGGTAAGGAACTAAATATTTATTATCTTCTCTCTTTGTGCGACTGCAACTCCCGATACAAAACCAACATTGCAATTAAAACTGCAATACTTTGGTTGCCACCAAATTCGATTCCTCTGAATAAACGGTATAATTTTCGCGACTAATTAAAACTTGGTCTTTGACTTAAACCGTGCAAATATTCTATACTGGTGCATTTAAATTAACTTTCCTATTTCCGCTACTTAATGTGGAGTTGCTTACTCAAACTCTCAGCGCGAATCGCTTGTTAAGCAAAGCGACAAAGAAGATCGCAACTTGTAGCCAAACTATGCTACAAACAGCCACATTTCCATCTGCAAATGGAAACACAAATGGAGTAATCTAATTTTGAACGGCAATGTTGGCGAATTTGTGTCCTATACGGAAATGCCATCGGATCTTATTAAACATGAGACTGGATGTGTTTGAGGACTTACTTAGGAATTAAGTCATTCGCAATCAGCCTTATTGGGACGATTATTCGTATTATTTAACSCACTTATTAAATTTATCAATCGACGACTTTCCATGGTATTAAAGTGAAGATAGAGAGTTSTTGATGTGGTTTGAARCAGGGATTTTTAGTTTCCCTGTCTGTTCACGGTAGTGGGCTTTTCCTAGTATATCTTCGAAGATTCCTGTGTTTGCACAAGGAGAACATTTATACAAAATGGCAAGACTGTCAATGAATTTAACTGACTAATTTAACACTTTTGCGGGTCTTCAAATGCGTAAGTTTCAGTCTTTGGCGTGTAGTTAGAGGCTCCAAATTCTATTACCCATTGCACGATAGAGCAGTGAATTGCGCAGTTTTTGCAGAAAATATCGATATGGGAATGTTTATTTCTTTTTTGAAAACGTTCCTTGCCTTTGGAAGTGATTGAGAGATTCGATTGAGCCTCAAAGTTATCATGTTTAAGGCTTAAAGATTGAGCTTTAAATTGCTAATTTTTTGAATAAAAAATCAGTTTAGGAATGTCTCTGGCTTTTACGAAAAAATGCGGAATCCTAGATGAACGCAGATTTTGTAAAACGCGCTTAGTTTTTGGCTTGTATTTAGAGCCTTGTTTGAGCCTCAAAGTTCGTGTTCTCATTATAAGGTAGAGCATTAAATTGCTCACTGTTATAAATAAAACAACTATACAGGAATGTTTCTAGTTTTCGAGGAAAAGCAGGACGGAAATACACGATAAATGCGGATTTTGAAAGCACTTCTTGCTTTTGGCAGTGATTTAGAGTCTCGATTGAGCTTCAAAGTTATCATGTTCATTGTCAGATTGAGCCTTAAATTGCTCATTTGCCGTAGAAAAAAATTAATTTAGAATGTCGCTGGTTTTTACGAAAAATACGCAATCCAAGAAAAACGCAGATTGTATAAAACGCTCTTAGTTTTTGGCTTGTATTTATAGCGTTGATTGAGCCCAAAGTTCATATTCTCATTAGAAGGTAGAGTCTTAAATTGCGTGTTTTTGTATAAAGCGGCAACATAGGATTGTTTCCAGTTTTTTTTTTATGGAAAATACGGAATCCAAGACAAACGTAAATTTTGAAAACCGCTCTTATTGTTTGGCTCATACTTCGAGATTCAATTGAGCCTCAAACTTCTTACTCTCATTGCCAAGTAGATCCGTAAACTGTTGACTGTTTCATATGAAACAACTATACAATAATGTGTTTAGTTTTCACAAAAAAAACGGATATATTACGAATACGAATCTATAAATGCAAATTTTGAAAACGCTCCATGCTATTGTCTGTAATTAGGAGATTCGATTGAGTCTCAAAGTTCTCGTCCTCATTGTGAGATTGAGGCTCAAGTTCCTCACGTTCTTGTGAAAACCATCAGTTTCGGAATGTTTCTCGTTTTTACGCAAAATGTGGAATCCAAGACAAACGCAGATTTTGAAAAACGCTCTTAGCTTTTGGCTTGTATTTAGAGCCTTAATTGAGCCTCAAAGTTCCTATTCCCAATACAAGGTAGAGTCTTAAATTGTGCATAATTCTGTGTAAAGCGGCAATATAGGATTGTTTCTAGACTTTTCATGAAAAATGCGGAATCCAAGACAAATGCAAATTTGGAAAAACGCTCTTATTGTTTGGCTCATACTTCGAGAGTCAATTGACCCTAAAACGTCTCACTCTTATTGCCAAGTAGAGCCGTAAACTGTTCACCGTTTTATATGAAACAACTATACAATAATGTTTCTCGTTTTCACAAAACAAAAACGGAAATACACGATAAATGCAAATTTTGCAAACGCTCTTAGCTTTTGGCTGATATTTAGAGGCTCGGTTGAGCCTCAAAGTTCTTGTCCTCATTGTCAGATTGGGCTTGAAATTCCTCACTTTTTTTGTAAAAGATTAGTTTAGAAATGTTTCTACTTTTAACAAAAAGTCCTAAATCCAAGATCAATACAGGTTTTGTAAAACGTTCGTAGTTTTTGGCTTGCATTACAGCCTTGATTGAGCCTTAAAGTTCGTATTTCCAGTTCTCGTTCTCAGTTTGATCCTTAAATTGCTCACTTTTTTGTGTAAAACATTAGTTTACGAATTTTTATGGTTTTGACGAAAAATACGAAATCTAAGATCTGCGCAGATTTTGTAAAACGCTCTCAGTTTTTGGCTTGTATTTAGAGCCTTGATTGAGCCTCAACGTTTGTATTTTCACTACAATATAGAGTCTTAAATTGCACGCAATGTTGTATAAAACACCGTTTTAGGAATGTTTGTAGTGTTTTTATAAAAAAAAATTTTAATCCAAGACAAATGGAAACTTAGAAAACGCTCTTAGCTTTTGGCTGACATTTAGAGGCTCGGTGGAGCCTCAAAGTTCTTGTCCTCATTGTCAGATTGAGCTTGAAATTTCTCACTTTTTTGTGTAAAAGATCAGTTTAGAAACGTTTCCACTTTTAACGAAAAATCCCAAATCCAAGATAAATGCAGGATTTGTAAAATATTCGTAGTTTTTGGCTTGCATTAGAGCCTTGATTGAGCTTTAAAGTTCGTATTTCCAGTTCTCGTTCTCAGTTTGAGGTTTATATTGCTCATTTTTTTGTGTAAAACATTAGTTTACGAATTTTTATGGTTTTTACAAAAAATGCGAAATCCAAGATCCGCGCAGATTTTGTAAAACGCTCTCAGTTTTTGGCTTGTATTTAGACCCTTGATTGAGCCTCAAAGTTTGTATTCTCATTACAATATAGAGTCGTAAATTACGCGCATTTTTGTATAAAACACCTTTTTAGGAATATTTCCAGTGTTTTTATAAAAAAATGCGGAATCCAAGACAAATGCAAATTTTGAAAACCGCTCTTAGTATTTGGCTCATATTTAGAGAGTCGATTGAGCCTCCAACTTCTCATTGCTATTGTCCGGTAGAGCCTCAAATTGCTCACTGTTTCATATAAAACAACTATAGAAGAATGTTTCTAGTTTTCACGGAAAGAACGGAAATACACGATAAATGCAAATTTTGAAAACGCTCCTTGCTATTGGCCGTAATTTAGAGATTCGATTGAGTCTCAAAGTTCTCGTCCTCATTGTGAGATTGAGTATTAACTTGCTCACGTTTTTGTGAAAAACATCAGTTTTGGAATGTTTCTCGTTTTTACGCAAAATGCAGAATCTAAGACAAACGCAGATTTTGAAAAACGCTCTTAGCTTTTGGCTTTTATTTAGAGCCTTGATTGGGCCTCAAAGTTTCTATCCCAACACAAGGTAGAGTCTTAAATTGAGCACATTTTTCTGTGAATCGTCAATATAGGATTGTTTCTAGACTTTTTATGAAAAATGAGGAATCCGAAACAAATGTAAATTTTGAAAACCGCTCTTACTGCTTGACTTATATTGCGAGAGTCGATTGAGGCTAAAACTTCTCATTCTCATTGTTCGGTAGAGCCTTAAATTGCTCACTTTTTTGTGTAAACCATTAGTTTACGAATTTTTATAGTTTGTACGAAAATGCGAAATCCAAGATCAACGCAGATTTTGCAAAACGCTCTCAGGTTTTGGCTTGTATTTAAAGCCTTGGTTGACCCTCAAAGTTTGTATTCTCATTATAATTTAGAGTCTCAAATTGGGCGCATTTTTGTATAAAACACCGTTTTAGGAATTTTTCCAGTGTTTTTATAAAAAAAGTGTTTGACTCATATTTAGAAAGTCGATTGAGCCCCCAACTTCTCATTCCCATTGTCCGGTAGAGCCTCAAATTGCTCACTGTTTTATTGTTTCTAGTTTTCTCGAAAAACGCGGAATTACACGATCAAGGCTGATTCATAAAACGCTCTTGGGTTTTGGTTCATCTTTAGAAAATTAGTTGAGTTTCAAAAACTAGTTTCTATTGCATGAGTTAATTTTCACACTTTCATTTTTTAGGCGTAAAATCTCTACACAGGGTGTTTCTGGTTTCCCAATACAATGCAATCCAATTTCCAAATGCAGATTTTCCATTACCGCCCTTAGTCTAGAGCTCGATTGACCCTCAAAGTTCTATCCCCATTACGGGATAGAGCCTCAAAATGCGTACTTCTCCGAACTAAAATCAAAATTAGAATGTTTCTAGCTTTCACGCGAAAATAAAGTTCGCTCTGTATTTAAGTCTAAAATAATTCACATTCTGTGTTCCTGCGAGTAAACCGCTTATGGACTATTAAAAATGTAGCTTTATAATGAAGCACATTAAAAAAATTATTAATCAAGACGAACGAAAAGACTTGCTGAATAAATTTGAAAATAGAGCCCCATTTCCATGACATTGATCGAGTATTTAATGCTCCAATAAAAAGAGTTTCCAACTTTCAACCTGAAAAACAAACATGCGAAACATGTGTAGTGATTAATGGACTATCGAGGCTCAAAGCGCACCGTAACAATTCGAATATTCTTTCTAAAAGTAATGGAAGCATTTGAAAATGTTTGACGTATAAAATTGCGTTTAATCACCCTACTGATTGTTTGTTATTCAGTTCAATTTTTTATTTTTTTTTGACTCGAGAGAGAGTGGGAACCACACAATCTTTTTTATGTTAAAATTGCATTTTGTTTGATTTTTCCAACGCAAGTCTTGATTATCCGTGGTCTGTAGTTGAGTATTATCATAAAATATTGGTCTCCTYAGTTCACAAAAATAACGTCCTTGATCTTTGCTAATCTTTSACTRAACATTTGGTGATTASAGCRTAATTKTAACTAACACAAGAGTGTACGGTGTAAAGGATTAAAAATGAAGGATTGGTTACAACAATAAAACAAATTTGAGCAAAGACAGTTGAGGAAAATTGCTTTGATTGGCTTAGATTAAGTGTCTGGTGCCAGTTTTTATTTAGAGCTAAACGGAATTGATGATTTGGTGAGTTTCACTTTATAATGGATAGCTTTTCCTGATCCATATATCCACTAACTCTGGCTAATCTGGTATTACAAGGAAGTTAAATAGCTCGAATCACTCGGTTTTGCTTCAATTTGAAAATCAGCAGAATTCTGATACTCAGAAAATTGCCAATGGAAAAAATCTATAATCAAAGAGTTGCTCAGAAAACCCAGCATCGACTGTTTTAGTTCACTGACCCAAGCGAAATCAATATCGAAACTCCCAGAAATAKAGTGAAACACGAACATGATTTAGGGCTATTTTTGAAAAGACATGCGGAATCGWGATACTTTGGGGGATTTTTGTAGGTTTTCTGTCCACGATTTCGCGCTACGTTGCACAGCATCTCAAGACTACCGAAGTCTCTATTAGTTTAATTTGTCTGATTTTCTTCAATGCTTTTTCTTCGGTTTAAGTGCGACGTTTATTTCAATTATCAAAATAAATCATTAAAAAATTTATTGAAAAAACATAAAATGATTTTAWARCAGACGTTTTATTTGTGTACTTTAACTGCATAGGAACTGATAGGTTTCGGACCGATTTGTTCTTAGGGGTGGTAAATTAGTGTTATTTGCACGCTAAAATCAGCTGATTTAACTGTGGCAAATATTGRTTAAATTTGTTTTGTWTTTTTGTTCTATTTAAWGCCAARGTTGACTACTTTACCAGCGCTCAAAATYTGTATTCTCAGCKTCAAYCGCAATAATCTGCCTAATTRTATGCCAATCACGAGGAAACCTGTTATGTAGACCCGCGYTGTTTAAGAATTRATATTTCTTAYATAATATTGTTGCTTTGTATACTGGTGGAATGCGGCAACATTCCAYCTTTCAGTAGATCTGCAACTGCCGCTTCAATATTACTTGAGAGCATTCATTATCTTCGTGCAATCAACCCTCTCTCATTTATTTATATCCGAAATTGATAAGATTAATGTTGGACATTCATAATAGTTTGAGCGCGATTGTGAATTTGTCTGTTTGACGCCGCTGGCTAATCAATAACCATGTAAGTATTTTAATTTTTACGGGTAAAATGGGAGTTGAATAAACCTTGTATAAAACTTTTGCATTGTTCTATAAAAGCACAATAAGCGTTTTCGGCAGTGGTGGGATCAAATTTTACTGGATAATTGACAATATAATTATCGGCACTTATCGCCTTGTACATACGCAATGGTTTCATCCTTTAATCGCTGAAAAACAATAGATAATGGACGGATCAAAGTTGAATTTTAGCGCAAATGAGTGTTTTAGTTGATTTTGAAGCAGTTATAAAAATGGTTTACGTTTCGCCTGCATTTACAACAACCGCTCTTTAATGTGACACTGTTGCAACGGAATAGTACTACAAAAAGTATACATAAATGTTGTCGAAATAAAACAAGATAACTTTGTTTCGGTTTTGTCCCCAAATTCTAAGGTAAAATGGGCATTCGAAAAAGACGATAAGGAAGCCCAAACTGTAAAAACGACGACTTTTCTTGTAAATCCATTTTGCATAAATAACTCTCAGTTTACCAGTATTTTACAGTAAAACGTTAAGGAAAACGGGTTGTTCTGTTTAGAGAGAGTTTTGTTTAGAAATATTGACGTAAAAGTTAAGAATCCGGAATTTAAATAAACCAAATTGTTCACAGCGGCAAAAGTGACGAGTTTTCCGAATAATTGATTCTAAACTTTCACTTGTTCCGTTCGGGGAAATATTTTTGGGCAAAAATCCAGCAAAAATTATTAGGATTTTGTCCAAAATTCGACGCTGCAAAAGGTTCCAGAAAAAAATGTACAAAGCTGTTCAGGAGCCGAGTGTTTCAATAAAATTTATTTTATAATTTTTGCAGAAAATACCTGAAGATTGTCAGTATTTTAACTAAAAATGATACGTTTTTTGCGTAGAAAAAATTACTTAATAGAAACTTTGTTGAATCTGGAATAACCTAAAATTTTAAAGAAACTCTAAAACTCTTCAGAGCGATGAGGGCGGCGAATTTTCCAAATAATTTGTTGGAAACTTATCAGAAAATAATGTTTTTTTGCGCGTTAGTTTCGTGATCGGTTTTTGAGAAAATCTTAATTATTTTCGGGAGAAATGGGAGAAACTTATTTTCGTTTTTGTCCCGAATTCGACGCTGAAAAAAGTTTTTGTAAAGTTCCTACAAAGCTATAGACTTATCCTGTAGTTTTTCGCGTGAACGACCTCCAAATGGTCAGTGGTTTTAAGTAAAACTCTACAAAATAGAGCGTTTTTGAGTGAGAAGCAAAGCAAAAAAAATTCAGTTAAAGCTAAAAAATCACATTTTTTAAGCAAACTCTACAGTTTTCAGAGGAATGTAAGTCACGACTTTTCCAAATAATTTATTTTAAACTTTCGCTTTTTGATAGAAAATTATTTGATTTTTTTCATAATGCTTCGCTAAAAATACTTTAAGATTGTCAATGTTAAGTGAATCCTTAGAAGATTGAGCATTTAGCAAAAACAGTGACCTTGCTAAAACTGGAACATTCTGAAATTTTGACTAAATGCTAAAAATATTAATGATAAATGGCCCTTAAAATAAATCTAAAAACAACTTAAAAAGTCATCAACATTTTTCAAGCAACGGACCGAAGTTATTGCGCCGGTGCGTTGGGTTGGCGCACTAAGCCATTTGCGTCGCACTGCGCCAACCCCTAAAAATTAATTGAGTTAGTTAAAAAAATTTAAAGTTCCAACCGACAAACTTTAGCTGTTCAATCAAAAAGTGTTTTTTCGAAACGGGCAGAAGCTAAGGGAAATAAAAAGGAAATCAAGAGGTAGAGTTTGAATTTTTACGATCTTTACAGGAGTGAAGCACCAATCGCAATAACTCCCGATGGGAAACTGCGAGGCGCAACCGACGAGAATATAGATGGACAAACTTTCCTCAAGTTTGTGGGAATCCGATATGGAAAACCGCCTGTGGGAAGTTTGCGATTTCAGGTAAATAGACAATGTAATGGACGAGATAATTTTGG